AGCAACATCATCATTGGTGGCAATGCTTTGTCTGCAATTAAGCCAGGAATCAGGAAGGAGCTGAAGGTCTCTTAGAAAGTTCATGTAGGGCACTTGCCTAGTTTTTTTGGAGTAGGGCAGAGAATTATTTTGAGTTGGTATAGTCCTGCTGTTGGAATATCATAATTAAAATACCAGTTTTAGGAATTCAACACTGTGTAAAGGAATAGTGGCCAGATTTTTGTCTTAAATAGAAGTGTCCAGTTAGTAAATTTCAGCCGATATTACTAATTTTACATTTTAGTTTTGTAGGTAAAACTTACTATAAATATAATCATTCCTTGAAATGTTGGTGGTTGCACAGCTTTGATTCCAAATTAGAGGGCTCCTTTTCTGTCAGCTTTGTTTCCTTAGCTAGTATGTGCCTTTTGAGACCTATTTCCTTCCATCTGATGAATTACAGAGAAAACAAATTGATATGGCGTTTGCTGGGAGATCCTCCTGTTCCTGAACTTGTTTAGTGTTCTTTCCTTTGGTTTTCCCCTTGGGCTTGGGTTTTTCTTAAGTTTGGTCTTGCATGCATTGAAGCATTGCCCACAGCTGTTTCTAGGAATGAGGTAGAAGATCTTCAGTATTTGAGGACTTGGTTCTTGGAGAGATGAATTCAGTGGGTTAGTGCTTTCTCTCTGCACAGAAGGTGAAGGTATCAAAGAGAGGTGTTATGGTGTGGTAAGAATTTCCTCTTTCTCTGCTTGGTGGTTTAGAGTTTAATGTGGTATCTGTCTAGCTGGAAGATCAGAAAAGAGTACAGGGGGTGGAGGGGCAGTTTGTTTGGAGTGGTTCTGTTGCTTCTGCTTAGCTTTTGGAAAACACAGGGGCTTATACCAGTATCAGTACTTTCTCTCTAGTAACGCCTTTGCTTTCTCCCTTGGTAACAGTATTTGTGTTTCAGGTTGATGACGTTAATGCTGATAAGAATGTCTCTTCTGCACAGATTGTTGGTGAGTGTGAGTCAGAAACCCTCAGTGCTGAACCTTTTTGCTGTTTTCTCATTACTGCTTCCACCTCAGAGAAAGTTGTCATGTCCGTGGCATTTTACCCACATGCCCTGTCCTTTCCCTGAGTGTAGTATGACAAAAATAGAACTCAGGATTTCCCTTGTCCATAAAGAAAATACCTTTCTGGCCCCAGAGAATCTTTCAAGTTCCTTGTTTCTGTTGGTGGTATTATTCTTTCAACCTCAAGTTCTTGATGTTCTTCCTGCTTCAACTTTCATTGTATTAGAAGTATCAAAATTATTTGTATTTATATAAATACATGTTTATATTAACAAACTTGGGCATTAATGAGGGGGCAGTAGATAAAACCATAGTGAATAGCTCAGTGACTTTTCACAAAGCAAGCATGCTGTGTGGCCATCCACTCAGAAAATAAAACACTACTAGCACTTCAGAAGCCCAGGGTGGGGGGATGCTTTTAAAATTTGGGGATAGTTGTTTTGTTGAGGTATAATTAACATAGAAAAAAATACACAGAAGTATATATTTTGATGAGTTTTGATTTTACGTAACAGTGACTTCAGTCAAGGTGTAGAAAGTTTCCATCACCCCAGAAAGTTCTCTTATGTTCCTTCCCAGTCCATTCTACCCTGGAGGCAAATACTGTTCTTATTTTCTAAAACTATAGTTTAGGTTCACCTTTTCTAGAACTTAGATACAAACGGAAAGGGGGATGATTTTAACTTGTAAAATACAAAATGGAAGAGTGGAAATTCTGATTCTATTACATTAAACAATGTAGACATTAATATTCCTTATAAAATTTTTCTTCCCCTAATCCTTAAAGAGTGGCTCATTCCAACAGAATTTTAGTGCCACCCCTTGGACTTTGTTGTTATGGGAGCAGACCTTTGTGAAAGGGCATAGTCTAAGAGAATGCACTGTGTACCTGGTTTCATGTACCACACCTGGAATTTCTCTTAATCTTTCTTCTTACCATAGGAAAGTAAAACAGGATTCAACTGTATTAAGGGAATGTAGATCTTAATTGTACTGAAAATTTTATTGATCTTTAATCATATTTTTCTTCTGTGTTTTGATAGTTACATTGTTTTTGCCAAAGGGGATTGTGGGCTTTGAGGATCTGAGCCCCTTCTCTGGCTTTTGTAACACTGGGCTCCTTACCCTTATTTAATTAGGTCCTGGGCCCAAGCCGGAAGCCCCTGCAAAGCCCCCTTCCAGACCTGTGGACACCTGCGACAACTTTGTACTACCAGAGTTGCCGTCTGTGCCAGACACACTACCGACTGCATCTGCTGGTGCCAACACCTCAGCATCTGAGGACATTGACTTTGATGATCTTTCCCGGAGATTTGAAGAGTTAAAAAAGAAAACCTAGATCTGTTAAGCCAGGCAACCTCCAGGCTCTGGGATTTGAGACGGCACTGTTTCTCCTTGTAACAAAGAATCTCCGTGCAATTCTTTTTCATCTCTTACCATCACTGAGCACACTTTTCCTTTGGGCTCTCTTCCTGCTCTAAATTCTGCTGCTTTCCAGTTCTCTGTTGCTCTTAAGAGACTAACAATTAGAGTCAACGAGGCCAGAGCAGCCTTGGCAACCTTGCTTGTTCGTCTCCTTTGAGTGTGATCCCAGGTTCGCCCATCACCTGTCCTTCTGTCCCTCCGCAGGGAGAAGGTGAAAGCATTGTAAGGAGAGCTGCCAAAGATGGCTGGACACGGAGGACATTACTTCATGAAGTCTCTCTCAGTCCTGTGCTGAAGTTCTAGATTTAGAAACAAACCCCTCTGTACAGAGGGATTTGTGGTGAGCAAGAATCAAGACAAAAAGGTGTGATATGAATGGGAAGAGAGACTGATGCTGGAAGCCTCTTTAACAGTTCTTGGAAGCTGGGTCCTCTCATTGGCATATACACTACTTCTTGCTGCAGGGCATTGTTCTACCTGGATCCAGTTGCAAAGTTTATTTGGAAAGTTGAAGGCTTCTCTTAGTTCTGCTGGATTCTCAGGGAGCCCTCCGTGGCCTTTTGCTTTGAGTGCTGTGTTCTCCTTTTACCAGAGGGGGCAACACTGCATAAATTCCTGTTTTTCCCCCATAGCATGTTCTGTTGGATTGCATTTACTGGCAAATGGCGGACAGGTCACATGTTGGGCAGAAGTCACCATTCAAGGCTAAGGTGGGCTTCCAGTTGCCTTAATAGAAGTACTCAAATCTCTTGGGTAGTGAGCTGGAATGCCTACAGGAGAAGAAGGGTTCTTGTTTTCATTTGAAAACTTTATGATTAAGAGAACCTTTAAAGACTGATTTCAGAAAATTTTTTGGTGCCCATAAAAAACATGGCTGTAGTTCACTACTTTCCTAGATGGATGAGACTATTACTATTGTAACTTAATGTGCTCCTTTTCCCTGTAGATAAGGCTGTCCTTCCCCAGAGGGATGGTTTTGGGATCAGAAGGTAGGACTCTGGCTTATGTGTAGTGTAATGTATATACTTGTTTCAAGCAACTTTAGTGTTTTTGATTGGTTTGTATCTATCTCATAGCTCAGTAGCTGATAATAAAGTTAAAAATTCTGTGCCTTGCTGAATTTGGTTTGGTCAAACGATGAGGTGCATTTGGATTTTAGTGGAGATTATTTTAAGCAGTGACCCATGCTGGGCACAAGCCACACCTTAACTCTTTGGTTCCCTGGGTCATGGGGACCTGCAGCAGCGAGGAGCCCATTTCAATCTGTGTGTGTGTGTTTTAATGTTTATTTTTGCAAGGGAGTGAGCAGAGGAAGGGCAGAGAAGGAGACAGAATCCTAAGAAGGTTCCACACTATCAGCACAGAGCCCGATGTGGGGCTTGAACCCATGAATCATGAGATCATAATCTGAGCCGAAATCAAGAGTCAGACGCTTAACTGACTGAGCCTCGCAGGCGCCCCTCAACTTCTGTATTTAAGCCTAGATAGCATTTGTGAATTTGCTTGGTTACTCCTCTGGGACAGGGCTCTCCATTACCCAAACCTCATGCATTTATCTTTAAGCTGCTGTCAGGGTGCCTGGGTGGCTCAGTCAGTCAAGCGTCTGACTTCAGCTCAGGTTATGATCTCACCGTTAGTGGGTTCTAACCCCTGTAGGGCTCTGTGCTGACAGCTCAGAGCCTGGAGCCTGCTTCGGATTCTGTGTCTCCCTCTTGATTGCCCCTACTGCACTTGTGCTCTGTCTCTCTCAAAAATAAACATTAAAAAAAAAAGTAAGCTGCTGTGAGCCCACTTGTGATTCATTTCTATTTCCCACAGCCATACTGAAACATTGGTGATGAGTGTTTTTTTACTTGTTGTTTGGCAGCAGAGCTGGATTATTCTGTATCACTCTTACAGGGTTAACCCTTTCCTGACCGTGATCTATAAACAGAAGAACTTGCAGCCACAGGGGATTTTGATTCCTCAGTGATTTACAAAATTAACAGTGCATTATATATAAACATTGGTAATTTTCTGAACTGTGCCATGCAAAGATAAGTAATAATATGCTAAGTAGTAATAAGCCAGGCTGGGAATGGAGCCAGGCTCCATTGTTAATGCCCATTGCTATCATGACCATTTGCTCATGTGTTCTGGTGCCGCTGGATTCCTAGCAAACTCTCTGCAGCACCATCTGTGAATGCACCTTCTTTTTAGAGTCTGTTCAAAGACAAAAGGCGAAAAGTGGGGGAAATTAACAATTGATCCTGATGTTGGAGAGAAAAAGTACCACAAGATACCAAAAAAAAGTATGAATAGTAATACTGGAAATTTCCTTTTATGATTTACTGTCAGGCATTGGAGTGTTTCTGCTAAATAGCGGAGGACGAGGTGTTTATAGGACAGTGGATATAGAACATAATATAGTCTTGGTAAACTGGGTTTCCTATAAAAATGGTTGGCAGAGACCAATAAAGGGAATATGCTAATACTGTGCATTATGTCTGCCTAAGAGCAGCAACAGTTAAGCTTTTCCAATGATAGAAGAATCATGACATATTTCAGTTACTGAGCCCAGAGAGTTACCTACCTTAAGGGACTTTCTTTACCAAAGGCCATGAGGATGACAAACAAAAAGGTTAATGATCACAAGTACTATCAAGATGACACTGGTGAGGATCAGAAAAGAACCCAGGATTGGCTCTAAAACAACAATCTGGAAAGAGACAATAAAATTTTGAGTTTAAAGATTGTCAGTTTAATTTCTACTTTAAAAATGTAAGTTATATGCTTATGTTTGGGATATAGTCACATAAAATATTTGGTGGAAACTTGGAGAAGCAAAATTATTAAAAAGGAAAATACTTTTGAGTGGACAGAAGAGAAAGAATGATAGACTGGGTGGGTATAAAAATAATTGACTTCAGTGTTTTCACAGGTAAACAGGTGAGTCACAATAGCACTATAATTCAAAACCCATGTGAGTTTTGGCAGTTCTGGAAAATATAAACATGGAGGTTTGAAAGAGTAGCAAAAGGTTACTGAAAAAATACATCAGAAATCCTGAAAACTGTCTCTGCCGTTCTATAACCTCTACTTTAAACACAGGAGCATTCTAATAAAATTTAACAGGTTAACCATAAAAATTGGCTTTTTAGTCTTTTTTTCTTTTTATTTATTTAGAAAATCCCAAGCCGGGCTCAAACTCATGAACTGTGAGATTATGACCTGAGCCAAAATCAAGAGTTGGATGCTCAACTGACTGAGCCACTGAGGTGCCTCTAAGTTGTTTTGTTTTTTTTTTTTTTTTAACGTTTATTTATTTTTGAGACAGAGAGAGAGCATAGTTGGTTGTTTTTTTAAGTGTTATCTTTAAAAGTGTAATTGCTGAGTTTTGCTAGTCTTTTCAGCATAAAGACATCTCTCAAATACAGGGTTACTAGAGTGGTTTCCATAACAGCATTTAAATTTACATGTTCATTTTAACAAATGATGTGCTTTTTCTGTTGATATTTTGGCTCATTCACTGTTGCTACTAGGGTACTGTTAAAAAAACAAAACAGCCCAACAACTTAGAGGGTGAATGTTTATAATAAATACCACTGTGATGGAAATATGTATGACCAAATATATCCTAGTAACAATACATCATCCACTTAAAAGTGCTTAATTATAGCTACTCTATCTAAGTCAACAAGTAACTTGGGACAATCTCAGATTGTGCTGTAAGACTTTGCCCAGTAAGTATACTCCATTTTCCCTTCACATTGTATATGATTATGATTTTTTTTTTTAAAATTTTTTTTTTCAACGTTTATTTATTTTTGAGACAGAGAGAGACAGAGCATGAACGGGGGAGGGGAAGAGAGAGAGGGAGACACAGAATCGGAAACAGGCTCCAGGCTCCGAGCCATCAGCCCAGAGCCCGACGCGGGGCTTGAACTCACGGACCGCGAGATCGTGACCTGGCTGAAGTCGGACGCTTTAACCGACTGCCCCACCCAGGCGCCCCTGTATATGATTATGATTAAAGCAGAAAAAGAGTTAGGTCAAAAAGGAGGTGTTAGCAAAAGCTTATTGTTGTGATTGTTACTTCCTTAAGAGCTTTAGTAAATAAAGTGTTCCAAGAGTGACGGCTTCATTCACTAATTTGAATTGTAGTTTTTTCTGTCCTAATCAAGTCTATATATGCTAGGGCTACAAATCCTCATCTAGGTTTCCTTGTTCTGTCTTTCTTGAGTAGGCTCCGCACCCAATGTGGGACTTAAACTCCTGACCCTGAGATCACGAGTCACATGCTCTACTGACTGAGCCAGCCAGGCGCCTCCCTCCTTTATTTTTTATACTTTTTATACTGAATAGAAGAGACTTGTGTTGGTAGTTCTTAGGGGGAGAATACAAGCTGTCTGAAATGAGCATTTATTAACTATAAACAAATATTGCAGTTCTTTCTGGAATTATACCTGCCGAATTTTCTTAAAAGTATACTTCATTGTATATTTAAAAGGGCCGTTGAGATAGAAACAGCAAATAATGTTAATCTGGGTAGGTTATGAGAGTATAAATTGAGGCCTAGTGTCCTGGCAATAAGTCTAAGAATATAACAAATGAGGAAAGTGGGACTAGGTGCTTGAAAAGGGCACATTTCTGAAAGTAACAGCCACTCAAATTGTATTCATAGATAGCACCATAAAATGGAAAGGCAAAGGATCTACACTCCCTTTTCCAGTGTGCAGTGGTGCAGAAAGGGCTGCTTTTTTTTTGTAAGCAATTCTCCCCTTAAGTATAAAAAACCAAATAGAATCCTGCAGGAAAACCGTGATGGGGTTTTTTACCTCCTTGTGATGAGAGATTCCCATCTTGAGAGCAACAGCAGTCACTGCTGAGCTGAAAAAAGTTTGGTAGTCCCAGATGCTCTATCCAAACAGCAGGTTAAACTGGAAAGGACAAAGACCAGTCAGGAGAGGGTAGACCGTAATGAAGCTGGTTTCAGTTCTTTCCCTCCTGAGGTGCTTGATAAGGAGGCCAACACAGAACCAAAGAGAATGGAAATGAAAGAAATGCTTTAGTGGCCATTCAAATCACTATGCCTAAAAGAAACCCTCCCCCACCAACACACACACACACACACCCATATTTCCTTTTTAATTACGTAGTGTTTTCATCAATTCATTTGACCTTCACATCAACCTGTGAGCTAAATTTTAGGAGATGAGACAAATTTCTGCATTTAAGTCTCACTACTAGTTAAGTATGGAACTATAACTAAAAGATTTCTTCACTCTTTTCTCCAGAACTCATTGCTAACTTGAACTAATGGTTTCTCATACAGTGCTTTTTCAGGCAGGCAATGTGATTCCAAGGCCAGCACTGCTTTTAGGAAAAGGCAGTGGGAACGAGGGCTTACAGCAATGGCATAGCCTGTCAGCAGGATCAGGATGAATAGCAGGAAGCTGTCCCAGGCTTTGCTGGGTGCTCTACTGACGACCTGCAGCCTGGGGTTAGGATCCAGCAGGTTCCACAGCTGAACAGTTGCCAGTAGAACCAGGAAGCCCATGAGGTGAACGACTGCTGAGTTTACTATTATTGCCTCATGGAAGCTGATGAACCTGTACCCAGCAAGGCTGACAGTCACTCAGGTGAAGTGTATGCTATCCACTTCTCCAGCTGAAGTGTAGCATCTCTGCAAGTCCTACTGGGTCAAACACTTGTTGATGTCAGAACTCTTCTTTTCAGTGTCGCCTCTGGTACTTGTGGATGTGAGAGCACTGGCAAAAGGCCATGTATTTGGTTGGGAGATCTCCAGAAGCCCTGAAGTGCAACCCCTAGGAGATTACTCCAAATTCATCCTGCAAATCAAGGCCAGCCTCGTCCACTGCCCCGGTTTGAGTTAAATCTCTCCTCAAAAGGAGAGGAGTTAGCCTAAGGAGATGTGCCCTTATGCTGCTCTGTTTTCTATAGGATAATTAATAGGTTTAACAGTGCTGAAAGTAGAAAGATGATAGGTAAACTAGACGGAAGGGTGTTATATGAGAAAGGCATTCACAATCTTGTATTGCAACTTGGAAAGACCCCATAGAGCAAGTTGGTGTCTGATCACAAACTGTTCTAGTGTCTAAGACCTAGGCAGTGCCATACAGCACGATGGACCTCAACTGTCAACACGATTTAACTGCACAGACACACTCCCTACATAAACAATCCTCTGTAAGTCTGACCTGGAACATTGCTTCATTACACAGATCAACAATCCAGACTAGTGACCACTGAAAAAGTCAAGTACCACATGGCAATACTTGGCCTGGGAAATAGATGCTCCTCCCCATGGGAAAGACCAGAGAAGGTGCCCAAAGGGTCACCAGATGTCTCTTAAGTAATGGACAAGCTAATGCATGAACATCCCTACCCAGAAAGCAACCCTCTTTGGATTTAAAAAACGCACTGTGTTGCAGTTTTATTTAAAGCATGATCATTTTTCATGCCTTAGGCTTTATTCTTTGGTCAGGGTGCAAAATATAACTAATTCCAGGTCCTTGCTGTGTGAAATTTGAATGTATTATCCTTGACAAACACATACCTAAGTATTAGGAAGACAGAGGACATTTTCAATATGATTAGCAGTATAAATGGTTTCTTGTTAACTGTCTTCTCAGCTGTGGACATTAGTCAGAGTTCTGTTTTTAACTCTGGTATACAAATATAGGTCTGATAGAGCAGTGGAGGAGGAAAGGGAGTTTGAAAGGATACTTGTGAGTAATCAGGAAACTTTGGACGTTGACTAGGAATAGGCTTCGCTCCTTAGTCTCCTTCTTACCTGTTACGGTCATAGTGGTATTGTGTTATGTTTTTCTTATGCAGAGAAGTAAGCTTCATGTCAAGACCCAGGATGACAGCTAATGAGGCTTATGCTCGTGTCCAGGATGTTTCTTTTCCTAGTGAAGAACCGCCACCTCTGCTGTTTCAGCCAATGACCCTAAACACAGACGCCACAGTCACTACTGCTTGCCTTAAAGATTAGCCAGGTCTCCCTGACGAAGTATTTTAATACTGGCAAAACACTAAGCTGAGCACTTGTCAAATCTAACTTGAACACACTGGGTTATGGTCTTGGTCTGCTCTGTAGTAACTCAGAGCCGCTGCTTACAGAAAAGTTCGCCTTTTCCACTACAACTTTCATTGGATACATTATTTCATTTTTGTTGTTTACATTTTAAAAAGTTTCCAAATTAGTTTTCAGGCCTGAAAATAAGACAGGTATTGGCTTAGGACAGATTCTCTTTTGGTGCAGTTACCTGTACTTTTGAATACTTGCTCTATTCATATTTTCAATTCTTGCTATTACCTTATATAGGGATAATGCAACTGTACACAAAAAATATTCCTTCTAGAGATTAATCCCTTAGCTCTTGAAAACTGGAAGAGCTACTTGGTGGAAAGCCAGTCACCTGTTAACTGAATTCAGGCTCTGGAAAGGACCAAAGTCATAGCCCTAATTCTAATAACAGCTCATTGTAGAGCTCCCCTGATAACATCTGGAAACTTCAAGAATCTTTTACATCTAACACTTTAAGTTCACCTGTACCAAGGCGTAGTAACAGACTAGGAGATAACAGAGGACTTGTGAGATAACAGACCAAAGTCCTTCTTGGATGCCTGAAGGGAACTTAAATGTCCAGCCTCAGAGAGGTGAAGAAGGCACCTGAGAACAAAGAATACCTGGAGTCAAGAGTCTTTAAAGCTTGTGCCCTCTTCCTTTCAAACTCTGTCTTTGAAATCACTGCAACTATTCCTGGATTATCTATTACAAATGTTCCTGAATCTCTACATTTTACTTGGTATTTCCTCTAGAGCTGTCACTGGATATTAGCTGAGATCATGTATGTGCTGGAGAAATGTGCTGGTTGCACTATCAATAGAGTGAATGGGTATATTGGTGACCCGACCATGAGGGCAGTGTCTGACTTCACAGCTATTAAAGGTGTTATCCTTGCCAAGCCAGAACAGGTGCAGAGATACACTGACTAGTTGTACTCTTGCAATATGATGTTTGGAAGAGAACTGATGACCGTGATGTAAAGTGTGGGGAGAAGGGAACGCTACTTAAAATACACTTTCAGAAATCAGTATGCTTTGAGCCATTTCAAATTTACTAAGTGTAAAGCACTAATATCCCATGAATACTAACAGTATCCTGTGAATACTCAGATGTGTCTATGATAGACTAAAAAGCCTCAGATTCCACCCAGGACAGTGAGACTGTTGTGTATAAAATCATGACAGGTCTTGTGACTATAAACTTTCATAAGGCCCCAAAATATTAGAATTAAGATGTGTCCCTTAGTAGAAAGTACATTTAAAAATAAAAGGAATTCCACTTCACAGAGTTACCTCTTAAGACTGGGACTTTCCCATGTTTACCCCTTTTTATTATTTATTTTAATTTTTATTTTTTGGGTAGTTACTACTAATGAAAAATCCTACAAAGACCCACAGGAAGCCTTCACGCTTCATCTAGAAATACATATAGAAGTCTAAAATTCCTGATTAAACACCTGATAGTAAAATGGAAGGATACTGGGGGGCAAATTCTGGGGAAGATAAAGAGAAAATGAAGTTTGATGAGGACAGACTTCCTGTTAAACGTAGGGGAACTGAACATACTAGTTTCCCTCTAATCTCATAAAAAGGCCACTACAGTAATAGTGAAGGCATAAAGAAAACCCAAAGAAAAAGAGGGTAGAGACAGCAACAAACTGCTGGAAGCTGGACAACAGAAGGATGACACTGAAAGCAGAGTCAAGAAAGCTGAAACCTAAATCAGCTGTGGAGAAAACCCAGAAGCAAGACTAGAAAGGAAAATTACAGGCATCAGATACTTTTGAAGGTAATGTCAGGTGGAACTGAAAATACAAGAATTGATTGCAAGATCCCAGATGTCCTTCCTCATCATTTGCAACAAGGTATTAGCTACCCATCCTGCCTTCCACCACCCTAAAATTAAAGGTTTATTTCCTACTGATGTTGAACTAGAGAGAATCTGAAGTCAGGGGCACCAGGTATGATCTACTAGAAAAGAATTAAGAGAAAGTTTTTATACCGCTTGGTGAGATGCTTCCCAGGCCCCTTTCTCCACAGGCTCTGAGAGGTCCAACAAGCCTATATCCTCAAGGGAGGAGTTTGGAGGGTCCCTCTAAGTGAAAACTGTCCCATAGACCTAGATAACAGTTGACAAGCTCTTTGCATGTGCAAATAACTTCTAAATAGCATTTATTTGCTTTTTACTGTCCCCCTCTTCAATATGAAAAGCTGGCCACATATTTGAACCTCTTACACTGAAAACTGGAGATCAAAACAAAACAACAAATCAAAAAATAAAAGCTTGGCAGCTCTTTCTGCCCAAGGGTCCTCCTGTCTCTGTACTTTAGTAAAATCACTATATAAATAAATAAAGCTCGGAGGTATCAGAGAAAGGGAGCAGGGGAGGAAAAGGAAACAAACCCTGTAACATCCTCACAGTTCAGAGGATACTGCATCCATAAAAGAACAGGACACTATGAAAAAAAAAAAAAAAAACAAGGGCAAACAATTCTTAAAAATTGAAATATAAAGATGAATGCTTCAATTCTAAACCATTTCCAAACCATTTATTGAATTTAGTTCCCAGAAACTAGAAGAAAAAAGATGGAAAAGCAAAACCAAGAAAATCAAAGGATCAGTCTGGTCACTCCAATGTCAAAATGCCAGGAATACCAGAAAAAGAACAGAGAAAAATAGAGAAGAAATTAATAGAAGTCTGTAAGAAAATTTCTCAGAGCTTAAGGACACATTTCCAGATTAAAAGACTCACCTTGAAGAGAGAAAATTCTAAAAACTCTTGAGAGCTGGGGGCCTCAAACATCATTATACATCTTAACAACAACCTGAGAAGCTAGAAAGCAGTGGAGCTATACTTTTCAAATTCTGTGAAGACAAATTGTTAGCCATCAAATGTTATGGCAGAATAACATTTTGAGACATGGAAGGCTTCAAAAAATTTACTACTTTTGCACCCTTTTTACTAATTTTGCACCCTTGCAGTAATTTCCTGGATGATGTGCTCTAGCTTAAATGATAAAGTACAGCAGCAGAGGAAAAATGGGATCCAGGAGAAAGATCCAGCAGAGGAGAGAGGTCAAGATAATCCCTAGGGAGATTCCAGGGTGAGTGCTATAATGCAGACCTAGAAGATAACCAATCTTTACCAAAAGGATGGAGGGCCCTAGAGAGGTCCTTTTATCTTTTAAAGGTTAAAATGAAGGTTACTTGACACTTTTTGAACAGAATGAGATTTTTACTTTTGGAGGAGTTTGGAGATGACTCAGTGATAGATCCATGCAAAACCAAATGGAAAAAAAAAAAGGGGGAGGTAATTATAAACTCTAAGGAAAAAGCTGTAGAAGAAATTTAACTAATATGTTACATGGCTCATCTTTGAAAAATCATTTATATAGTCACAACTTATGGTTAGTGTAATATTTATTTTCATTATTACTATATTGGGATAAGGAAAGAGAAAAGGTGTGTATGTGTGTGTTAGGGATATGCATTGGATATAAGAAAGTTAAATGTTCATCAGTAGAGGAAAAAAGAAATAGATAATACCTACAACTAAAAATTCATGAAATAGTTAATCATGTTAATTTTTAAATTTCAAAGAACCAGTTTAAAAAGCTGGAAGGAGCTGTCTCTGGGAAGGGCCATGAGGTGGGGAAGAAGAGAGGACTGCTAGTTTTTGCCTTGAACTATTTGACTTTTAATAACTTTAACTTTTTTTGTTTAATGTTTTTATTTGTTTTTGAAGGAGAGATAGAGCATGAGTGGGGGAAGAGACAGCATGAGCGGCTCCAGGCTCTGAGCTGTCAGCACAGAGCCCGACGCACGGCTCGAACTCACGAACTGTGAGATCATGATCTGAGCTGAAGTCAGACGCTCAACCAACTGAGCCACCCAGGTGCCCTGATAACTTTCTCTTTTAATGGTATGAAGAAAATGAGCCTTCTCCTGTGATACACAGGTCAGAGAGAGAGGGGAGAAGAGGTCTTCATACCCATGTTGTTGGACTCCAAAATCAGGGTCCCTGCACACAACAGGTTCACATTAGCAGTGAAGACCACAAATTGCACAAAGAGGCTTTTGGTGCAATGGTCAAGCCAGTGGCTCTGTTCAAGATGCTGCAGAACTCTGGGAAGACGGAGAAGCATGCTACAAGCTACCTTCTCCATTCAACCCTGCAAAGGAGAAAAATGCCCTGGCATCTCCAGTATCACCTTCATACCAGTAGTATGCAAAGCTACATCTCCAAATCTAGTTTACCTATTAAATACTATTACTAATGTTCAAACTGTCACTAGTGTTGGTTAACACTAATATAAACTTAGCTACAAAGATGAAGGTTTTCATAATAGTATTCACACCAAACTTCAATGTTCAAAAAAACATATTTGGCATTTAACATCTAGGGTAGAATTAATTTTACGTCAACCACCTATTACTCTACTCCTTCTACTTCTAAATGTTAAGTGCTGATCTCAACAGCTATTCAGGTTTGAGAAGGGTGGAAATGTCATTATTTGGTTGGCATCGTTGTTGTTTTGTTTAATTTTAGAGAGAGAGAGAGCAGGGGAGAGAGAGACTCTTAAGCAGGGAGTGTGGAGCCTGACACAGGGCTGGATCCCATGACTTTGGATTCATGACCTGAACTTTGGATTCATGACCTGAATCAGATGCTCAACTGACTGAGCCACCCAGGCGCCCCAGCATCATTCTTTTTGAGTAAATTCTTGCTGTAAACGTAAATGAAGAGATAACTTAAGCTTTTTCATACATAATGACAAAGATTTTTATCACATACACATATAAAACCATTCTACAAATCTATGGCAATTTAACTTTGAATCTTGGATGATTATGGTTCATAAAGGGCAATGATGACTCTTAAATTTGAAGATTATAGTTTGCCTAAACTAGAGATACCTGAATTGAAATTGGTAGGTGTTTTTCCAGATGAGAAAAAAAAAATGAGTTTGGGAAAATTGCCAAACTAAAACATACCTACAGTTTGAGGTTGAACAAGGAATTTTCAAACTAAAAGATACATTTCCTTAAAGTCTAAAAAGTATTACAAGTGTAGGAGACAACAGAGTAGCATTATAGTGGCTGTAGAAATTACTCAAATGGGTCCTTAATTCCTAATGGCCCTGAGAATGGACAAAAGTGCACATCCTGGTTATCCCTCCAGGCTTCAGCCTTGCTCACCTGGCTGCAGTACTGAACTTCTTCCAAGTCTCACAACATACCCTCCTCCTGAGTAAATGGCAAATTCCCCTTGGATAGGATAGCCACCCAGTATCTCTTGATCCTGATAACGCCAAATGCTGTCTGACTTTGTGATGTTCGTATCAGGGGAGCCCCTGTTGACTCCACAGTTCTCTGTATCCTCCTGATCTTGTGAGATGGCTTCACTTGTTCTTGGGGAGATACTCCAGTTGGGAGAAGTATGGCACCAGGAACGTGAATGTGATGAAGCAGAACATTGCCCAAAAGAAAGGAGTTTCCATCAGTAATAAATCCTAATGAAAGAGTACAAGAAACTGTTTTTAAAAATACTTCAAATTAGTAACAGAAAATGCCCTTTTTTGCTATTTTAAAAAACAGAATTTGGAATTTCTGCTCATGCAGCCGGACAAGAAAATGACTGAAAGCCGTCAGTAAGATGGTGAAACAGGAGGCCCTCTGCTTGCGTCTGCTCTTAGTAACAATAATTTGGCAACCATTCTCAGGAAAAAAAAGTATGTTTGTGGGAGCCTTGGGATCCAAAGGTAGGGAGTTGTGAAACCCCAGTGGAGTCCAAGACTGACAAAAGGCCATTCTGAGAAGGCAGGTCCGTGCCCAGGTGGCTGGCTCACAAACTGTGGTCCTGACGACAGACTCAGAAATAGCTTTGTCCCCCTATGCACTTGGCTACAGCACCTTTCGGTCTTGGTCCTGCCACCAGCACCATGCACCAGGAGACTCCTGCCTGTGTCTTGGATAATAGGCCTGCAGACCTCAGTCCTGACTGTGGACCATAAAACAGCTTGTGACCCAGTGCCAGTCCCTCTCAGCCACAGTTCAAAGGTTCCTGGAGACAAACTCACCAAACTCACTGGAATGGCCCTCAACTAGACTCCAGCCCCTCCTGGCTGTAGAACATGAGCAGTCCTGCCAGTCCAGAGACCTGCTGGGGGACACACCCGTTAATGCTCCTGGAGACAAGCCTAGCAACCATGTCTGAGTTTAGATCCTGAAACTTCCTTCTAACCTGGCTCCAGGCCATCCCAGCCATTGTCAGGAAGCCGTCCCACCCACTGTGGGATCGGGTGGGGGACACACTCATCCATCCCTCCAGAACCAGGTCTGTAGACACTGGTCCTGGCTGTGGATCCTGAAGAGCCCTGGGAGGTGGTTCCAGTCCTTCTCAGCCACAGTCCAGGGCCCATCTCACCTGCCCAGGGACCCAGCAGGAGCCCTTCCAGGAATCTGGTGGGAGCCACACTCATTCTTGCACCTGGTAATAGGCTTGCTATATGCCAACTCTGAAGGAGACCCTTGTCCCAGTGCTAGTCCTAGTGAACAAGGTTCTGGAGTAAGTCCTGTTCACCCAGAGACCAGATAGAATCCACACCCACCTAAGCCTCTGGTAACAGGCCCACAAATTGTGGACCCCATTGCAGATTAACAATAGCCACAAGACATGGCTCCATCCCAACTCAACTGAGATTCTGGAGGTAATCTCATTAGCCTTGGGAAACGACAGAAGAAGGTCTTTACTTGCCAAAAACAGTCTGGAAAGACTGGAAAATGTGTTTGCTCTTTCAAGTGCACAAATACCAATGCAAAGCTATATGGGTCACAAAGAATGACTCCAAAGAAATGAAGATCTATGAACTGCCTCACAAGAATTCAAAATAATCATCTTAAAGAAACTCAGTGGAATACATGACAAAACAAATAAATGAAATTAGGAAAACAATGCATGAACAAAATGGTAATTTTAAGTTTATTTTGAGAGAGAAAGAGCATGTGTGCATGTGAGCAGGGGAGGCACAGCAAGAGGGGGAGAAAGAATCCCAAGCAAGCTCTGCACTGTCAGCGCAGAGCTTGACGCAGGGCTCGAACTCATGAACCATGAAATCATGACCTGAGCTGAAATCAAGAGTTGGATGCTCAACCAATTGAGCCACCAAGGTACCCCCCAAATGGTAATTTTAATAAAGAAGTAGAAACCACAAAAGAGAACTAAACAGAAATTCTGGAGCTGAATAATACAGTAATAGAAATGAAAAATTCAATACAAAGCCTCAATATCAGACTTGATCATACAGAAGAAAGAATCAGTAAATTTGAAGATAAGTCATTTGAAATTAGCCAGTTCAAGGAACAAAAAGAAAAATGGTGACAAAGAATGAAGAAAGCCTATGAGAATTCTGGACACTGTGAAAAGAACAAATATACATATTATGGGAACCCCAGAAAGAGGAGAGAGAGAAAGAGGCAGAAAACTTATTTCAAGAAATAATGAAAACTTAAAGATATAAACATGTGGGTACATGAAGCTCAAAGGACCCCCCAAGTCAGATCAACCCAAAGAAGCTTATCCTGAGACACATAATAAACTGTTAAAACTCAAAGCTTGAGAATTCTGAAAACAGCAACAGAAAAAATAACTTTACATGCACAAAGAAACCCCCACAGTCTATCAGATTTCTTAGCAGAAACCTTGCAGGCTAGAGGGAACAGAATGACATATTCAAAGTGCTGAAAGAAAACAAAAAACTGCCAACCAAAGCCACTAAACCCAACAAAACTGTCCTTTGGAAGTTAAGGAATGATAAAACCATTCCGAGACTCACACAAGATTAGGGTAGCTCATCACCACCAGATCAGTCTTACAAGAAATGCTAGAGGGAATTCTTCAAGTTGAAAGGAAATGATGCTATGTAACAAAAGGAAAGTATACAACTCACTGGTAAAGGTAAATACATAGTCTAATTCAGAATATGGTAATAATATAATGGTTTATAAATCACTTTTATCCCTAGTATAAAAGTTAGAAGACAACAGTATTAAAAATAACTACCACTGCAATAATTGGTTACTGGATGACAATATAAAAAGAAGTGTGACATCAATTGCATAAAGTGCAGGGGAAGGAGAAGAAAAAGTATAGAGGGTTTTTCTTTCTTTTTTTCCCCAATATACAGGCAGCACAATCTTGTTTATTTTTATTTATTTTTTAAGTAATCTCTATGCCCAGCAGGGGCTTGAACTCACAACCCTGAGATTAAGAGTAGCATGCACTACTGACTGAGCCTGCCAGGTACCCCACAGTATAGAGTATTTGTATGTGATTGAACATAAGTTGTTATCAGGTTATAGGATGTTTCATGTAAACCTAATGGTAACCATAAAGCAAAATCTATATAGATAGATACAAAAAAAAGATATAGGGAAGGGAATTAAAGCATACCACTACAAAAAATAAATAACAAAGGAAGGTAGCAAGAGAGGGAAAAAGGAACAAAGGAGCTGAGAAATAATCAGAAAACAATAAAATGGCAACAGTAAGTTCTTATCAATAATTCCTTTAAATGTTGAGAATAAATTCTTCAGTCAAAAGACAGAATGATTGAGTCTGGTAAAAATACAAGATCCAATAATATATTGCCTATAAGAGACTCACTTTAGTTTTAGGTACACACCACAGGTTGAAAATAAAGGTGTGGAAAAAAGATATTCCATGCAAATGGTAACCAAAAGAGACCAGAAGTAGCTCTAACTTATAACAGATAAAATAGAATTTCATTTAAATTCGGGCACAACAGACAAGGAAGGTCACTTGTGATAAAATGATAAAGGGCTCACTTCATAAAGTGAACAAAACAATTATAAATATATATGCACCCAACATTGGAACACCTAAATATTTAAAGCAAATGTTAACTGAAGGAAGAAATAGACAGCAATACAATAATAGTAGGGGACTTCAACAACCCACTTTTAACAATGGGTAGATCATCTAGACAGAAAATCATTAAGGCAACAGCAGACTAGTTACCACTGTGGACCAAACGGACCAAACAGATCTATTCAAAACACTCCATTCAACCAGAATACTTGTTCTTCTCAAGGGCACATGGAAC